CCATCTGGATGCTTGGCGGTTCACCACTGTACGTTTCAAAAGGAGTTTTCTTCCGCGTACAACCTCTCTGTGGAATAGTTTACCACCGGCGATTTTTCCGGACCAATACGACCTGGGGACCTTCAAGAAAAGAGCTTACTCCTTTCTAAAGGGCCGGCAACGCACCTGCAATTCCCCTGGTGTTGCGGTTGATCATGGGCGGCGGTAGTCACTTAACATCAGGTGAGCCGCATGCTCGTTTGCCCTCTCTTCTATAAAAAAGTGTACGATTTGATATTTTCGAAACTGTTTTTTAATTTTATTTTGGTGCTTAAATTAATAGCTCTATTAGGCGTTAAAGATGCTTATGTTTAGGTTACATGCGTAAAAGGTCTTATTAAGAGCGTATATTCGAATATGTCCAAGTCGAAATCTACGCGATCGCTTTGGAACGGCGTAATATTGACGCACACTACAATGTTATCTCTGTGTGCGTGTCAGGACGAGCGTGAGGCTATAATACGAGTAGTTGCCTTTAGTTGCACGAATCACTTTGATCTATGATTATATACCTGTCTTTGATACTATTGGAACTAAAATAATAAAAAAATATTTTCCATATAATGGCTTATATAGTGTATAGAAATCGGAGGTAATATGTGGAAATTGTTTTATTCTTTTAGTAAATTGAAGTAGGCTTTACATTTTCACCCTATTGAGTATATTATATTCTAATTAAAAATATGTATCGTATAAAATATATATCTTTTGATAAACTTTTATTCTGTTTCATAATGTAAACATATATTCATCAAACTAACAATTTCATTAGTGTCGGCGGGGATTAGTGTTGCCAGGTCTAGCAAGTAAAATTTCGGGACGGAAGGTAAAAATAATCGGGGATTTGGTTTTCATATCCGGACATCTACAATGACTACAAAATATAGGTTTCTTTGTAGCCTTTTTTGTGCTTTATTGAGAGCCGTGGTAGCTCAGATGGCCAACGCTCACTGTAAATATCACAGTATGCGAGTAATGCGAGAAATTGTGACTGTAACTTTACTTTACTTTTGTGCTTTATAATTATTATTCGGTTCTGATCTCATGAACGAATAACTTTTCATCCAAACATCGTAAAAACTGAATTTTTTTCATTTTAGGAAAATTAAAACATTTTTGAACTATTTGTTTTTTTTTTTTGCAGTCCCTGAATTTTTCAAATCACTCATTTTAATATAATTCTGTTTAAAACTTTTGTGTTTTTTTTCGACTGGTGAGACAATGTCGTAGTAAAAATATTTTAATGTGGTAGTAGCTAACAAATGTAATCATTTTTGCTGTCAAAATTATGGATTAAAGTATAGAATAAGAAGTTTAGTGAAAATCGGGACATTTGGCGTCCCGATTAAAGGTGAATCGGGACGTGTCACTAGACCCTTGAAAATCGGGACGTCCCGAACAAATCGGGATACCTGGCAACACTAGCGGGGATCGAACCCGGATTATTCGCGTTTACGGCGAGATATTTGGGGGCACGGTAGTGTCCCCGCCAAGTCGAGCAAAACAGCGGCATGGCCGTATCATCATTGCGAGACTTTGTTATGTTTTTGATGGCATGTCTTTGTTTAATCATAACGTTATCTCCACACTAGGAATTTTTCCTAAGTACATCGTGGGGGCAGTTTAAATACATTAATTTCACAAGGACAAACATCCAGTCCTGGAACAATTATTTGTAGGTAATACATATTTTTGTTCCATGTGGGATTCGAACCCGCGGCGCTCAGCGCTACAACTCATTACCAAGTCACTCCGCCACGGAGCCAAAGGTGAAAGCCAACGATTTTGTATTTTTACTTGATCCGAATTGCTTACGTTCATTTCGAAAAAAAAAGTGTATGAAATGAAAATTTGTCACCATTACTTCATTTAATATTTAAATATTACTATCATAAACATATTTCAAAATTACTTACTATCAAAAATATCGCTTATAAAAGTCTCAATCGTTTAAAATGCTGGATGGTGCTATAGGTATCCAGTTATAGTATAGTGTAGTATAGCCCTATCGCTGTATCAACGCGATCGCGCGGTGTCGGTGAGAAAAAGTAATACGTCCTATCGATGGGATTACCCGGAGCGTACAACGCATGATGATTTAGTATTTTTAAAATAATATATAAAATAATTGAGAAAATAAAAAGAGCTAAATTTTTGGATTACATTACATGTATTTGGTTTTGAAGTCAAATACATGGAAAAAATTACATTGAAGTAGACAGTTTTGGTGATTTTGTAATATTATTTTATAATATTAAATCGAAATATTTTCGTAATTTAGCTTTTGCTACACACTAAAAGACTATATATTCCATTATAATAACGCTTAAAATAAAGTATTTTAGCTTATAATAATGGTTGTATTCAACCTGAAAGATAACTATAATACATATTTTCGTAAAACGCTGTGAAGGGATTGTCTTTGCCCTAAAAAACCGTCATTAAAAACTATGATTTTGCATTGCTATGTACTAAATAAAGACTTCATCTTTCTAAAGCCCTAGTTTTCAGCAAATAATCTCCTCACATCGTTGGAAAAACCGTAAAACATGTAGTTTTCGACGCGAAACGCATATGCCCTCTTAAAGCCTCTGCTATGTACAAACTATAACAATATCAAGAAAAGTATTCAGATTATATTTATTTAAATATTGTCTACAATAATCTAATCCGGTCACTTTTTTTACAAATGCTTTAATTTTTCTTATTTGAAGGGCTTAAAAAGTTGTAATTTCATGATTTTTTTAACTGCAAATATCCATTTTTTTCTATTAGAAGTATAAATGTAGCAAAGTCGTACTTAAAACTACATAAAATAGAACTATTTTCAAGTGATTTAGAAATAAAAATATATACGAGTATATATATTCGTACTTTTTTTCTTTACCTATATTCCATTTATAAACCGGCAACGCCCGAAAATTCTCTCAGTTTGGCTGTGATTTCTCGGCGTTCAGACGTGTGCAGTGTTACTCAACGTTACTTTACCTCTCGCTCGCACGGTTGATCTCTTTCCCTCGCGCAGCTCTTATGGACTGAGCGGAGCATATCGTGAAAGTGGCTCTACTTAAATATATATTTTTTTATTTAATTGTAATATTAGTTCTAGTTTTTAGTGTATTAGTGTAATATTAGTATTAGATTAATTGACTTGGACTTTTATATTTGGAGAATTTCGATTTATTACCAAAAAAAAGGAAAAAGATGGATAGAAAAAAGAAGAAATATCCTTATGTCAGTAAAAATAGTAGTAAAAGTAGTAGTAAAGTACAAAATGTACAAGGTAGAGGCGAAATTTGTATGAAGAGGCAGTTTTTATTTTCCTTCGGTTGTATATACTCTTTTTAAACCTACACCCCGTATAAACATTACTAAAAATGACATAATAAAAAATATTATACTACCACGACAAAAGTAAAAGGAATATTTTTGGTAAAAAAATAAGTTATATATTTAATGAAGTAAAGCAACCTTCACCTGCGTCTCGTACATGTTAGCCGTCGTAATCTCGTACATATTTATACACGGGGGAGAGCGCCCCCTCTAATAGCTGGGAATGTAAAACGGCAAAGTTAGACGGAAGCCTTAATTTGTGCAAACCCTAGCGTCCATGCGTTGTCTAGACGTTGTCGGCTTTTACCACGGGATCAAAGGCGTTATACTACTGTATGTCTTTATTACATTGTTGTTACGTGTGCCCTAAAGCACAGTATAAATATGTACAATAAGGAAACTAAGCCTAGTTGAGGACATAATTACCTACGCTCCATGGAAGCGATAGGGTTGTGACTTTTAATGTTTTTGATATTTTTTACATTTTTGTTATGTAGTGATCAATCAATGGAATTTAAATAATTAGCTTACAAATACAATTTAAGTAGGTAATTTCATAGCGTCGGTTAATCTCAGCAAAAGACAATAGTTTAAACACGGAAAATAATTTAATATTAACATACAACAACTTGTAGAGGTATAGATCTTTAACTTTGTCATTACGGCGCAACCTTTTACAAGTTTTGGCGGGAGCATACGTAATACGTTCGTGGCATTTTTAAAAAGATCGCGGAGATAAACTTAAAAAGCGACGCCACTCGAACACTCATCTTGACGCGGCACTCGCTACTGAGAGTACTGCGTCGTTCGCTTAGGAGTCTCATAGTTGTGTATGTTTGTGTGAGTGCGCCGTTTTGAGCGTTTGTAGGGAGTTTCTTAACTGTTCCTATATATTAACTATGCCTAAAGTATTATTGTTGAACAACTATCATTAACTGGCATTATGAACAAAAACAAGAAAATATACTTACATGTGAGAAACAGTTAACTCTGATCCCTTCTTTATAGGCTTCAACGCAATCAACAACAGTTTTTTATTTAAACTGATAACAAGTACATTTGGACTGCAAGAATCTTTTAATTTACCAATTAAAGGATACCATCCGTAATTTGAAATTAGATTGAAAATCGATTTTTTATTTATGATATCTGATACAAGGAGATGAACTGGTGTGGGGGGAGCGTAAAGACAAAAGTACATCATGACTCTTCCCTGTGCTTTCTTAGCAAGTTTCCTTTTATCAATTGACCGAGGCAAATAGCAAGATATTCTTTCTAAATGATAAATAACTGTAGCACATACAAAACTAGCTGAATACATTGATCCATGTACGAACAACCGATTATCATCAAAATTAAGAACTGAGAACTTATTATTGACATCGTACATTTCCTGTTTTGAACTGATGCGTATCCTGTCACCACCAGTGCAATGCGAAGATGAAATCACCTTTTTCCATGACCCACACATTTGGACAAATTTCAAAGTGCCTTTTATCATCAATTTCGCCATAGGATAAAAAGCTATGCTTTGTATAACCTCCATAACTTGACATTCGATGTTATGGCAATCTTTTAAACACATTTCTTTGCGTTCTTCACTACAAAATAAAACTAAGCAACAACCTTCACATGGTATCAGGTTCAGACATTTTATGGCAGTAATGGCAAGAAAATGGTACATTTTTCTCGCTATTACTACTTACAAACGAATCTTCTAAAGCCAAGGGAGTACCCACTTTAATATCTTTTGCTGCAACTACTTTAAAAGCATCCCCTTTCATAACTTCTATGTCAGAACTAGCGCAACGTATGGGAGTATTGCTTTTAAAATCAAACTTAAAACAATCTTTAAAGTAACCAGTAAGCAAATTAGCAGATAGATTTTCCATTTCACTTCTTACTGTAGCTTCATTTTTCCTTTTAATAAGCTTACTTTCAATGTCTGTGGGGCAACCAAGTTTACAACAAGTTTCTACGTCAATTAAACAAGCTCTAAATTGTCCCATTTTAAATAATATTGCTGACCTGTTGCTATAAGCAAGTTGAATGGCTCTTGAATTTTTCGGCGCAAACATCAGAGCTCTATTGTAAAATTCTAGTACTCTGTTTACATCTCCTACTTTAAATGCTATATTACCTTCTTCCCGATATTTATCAGATCTTTTCTCACATTTGTTTTCTCTTTCTATATTTGGTAAACTGCCACTTTCCTCAAGTACATGGAGAGCAGCCATAACTACATCGGAGTAATCATCGTTCTTCATTGCTGCGTAGATTTGATTGACAAGACTACGCTCTCTTAAATAATTATTAAATTTTATAAGTCCCATATAATTTCATTGTTTTGTGCTGTTATAACTTAAAATATTTCAAATACAAAAGACTAGTATAGGTAAGTATATAAGTAGATATGGATTGTGAAGTAAATTTCAACTAAATTTTGTTATAATGCTATAATTATAAAGCGATTAAACTTTTGAGTCAAAATGATGCTTTATAATGCTCTTGTTGATTCACTGATAATTTATGGGCTAAGCAGCTATGGACAAACAGACAAATCACACCTACAGTCATTGAAGTAATGTATACTCACGTAATAGAACCATTGATTTATATATTACACTAGATCAGTAATAACCGCGCCAAAGCATTGCCACTGCACATATGGCCACAGCCATATGCCTAGCTGTGGCGGCGCTGTCGTCGCACCACAATCGAAATACACCGAAGCCTAAATCACGCTATCAACATTCCGAATCATAAACAGTATATATAGAACATCTCCGAACTATCACACGGAGTGTTGGCCGCTCCCCGGGCAGAACACCTTGCCCGGCGGGAGATCTCCCCTTTTCCTACCACGGCTACAGTGGTGACCATCCGACGTGATCTGAACACGCAACCAAACAACCTTCGGAAACTTCAAGCTTCATCATCGTCGAGAATACCCCACCCATTCGCTCCCGAGCAGATATCGTCTGCAGTCTTCATATCCTGCAAGCCATCTAGCTTCACAAGGTTCATCGCAGCACTGGAATAATAATGCTTCCTGTTCCTTGAAGCTACTCTCTGCGCCATACAGTGTTCGGCACGGCTCTGAGCTTTACTGCTCGCCTCTGCTTCACGGCACTCTCGCAGATTACTTGCCTTCTTCTCGACTCACCGCAGACTACAAGGCAATCTCCTGGCACTTGCACATTCGTCGACAACTCGACTGCACTATCGACCTCCGGTCTAAGTAGGGGGTGATGTGGCGGCGCTGTCGTCGCACCACAATCGAAATACACCGAAGCCTAAATCACGCTATCAACATTCCGAATCATAAACAGTATATATAGAACATCTCCGAACTATCACACGGAGTGTTGGCCGCTCCCCGGGCAGAACACCTTGCCCGGCGGGAGATCTCCCCTTTTCCTACCACGGCCATATAGCTAACGTCAGTTCAGTTTTCAATGTGACGCCTACAGAGTTGAGCCGCGACAAAAAATGGGTAAATGCGTAGTGAAATAATGCTATTCAAGGTCACAAAAACGTTATAAATCAAGCGAAATCACTTTCAACACATAATTTTTAGTTCTTGTTTGCCATTTCCATTCCCCCCTTCCCTGTGTGCTTCCGTAGCGATAAGACGCGTCAGTGGATTAAGAAAAATAATCATTTTTAAACAGTTAATTGTTCGAAAATATTAGGAGCGCATAACGTATCACACTCAGATCCGTACTACTGTGTTATGCTTGTGTGATGTAAATAAAAGTGAGCAGTCTACATAGTTCGTTCGTGGTTTGTGTTTGTGAGAGTGAAATAGATATACATCTGTGTATGTATTTATACTGTGTCTGTACTAAGTGCAAATTATACGTATTAATTCTTCTGCCGCCCTGGTACTATTCGACAACTAGCTAACAGTAACGTCGTACACCGCCTCGCTCTGACTCGGAGCCTGAGCTATCTAGCGCTAAAAGACATGTTTCATGCAGGATAAAGCGCAAGCGCGATGACGAGCAAACCGATTACATTAATATAAAGGACTATATGGACGAAATCAAAGAAATGTTGTCATCAAATATACTGCAACAAGAAGCGAAATTTAATTCAATTGATAAGTCCATTAAAGATATAATTTTAACTAACCAATTAAAAGAAAAAAAACTATCTTCGTTGGAAAACACCTTAAAGGAAATAAAAGATCAAAATGTTGATATTTTTAAGTCACTTGAATTCATATCGAGTAAATATGAGGAAATGCGAGAAAAAAATGGAAATCCTAGAAGCTGACCGCAAGGCTAGCTTGACCTGCATCAAAGCACTAGAAGACAGGATTGAAGGCTTGGAGCGCAAAGCCCGATCGTGCAGTATTGAAATGAGAAATGTTACCCAAAATCAGCCAAAACTTAAGCGGGATCTCCAGAATATCGTAAGAAATGTTTGCACGGAGCTCAGTCACAATTGAAGATGGAGAGATACGGGATTTTTTTAGGCTTAAGTCTAAATCGTCTACGCCTAACCCTATAATAGTTGAATTTGCCAACGTCAACATAAAGGAGGAAATTCTAACCTCAATGAAAAAGTACAGGAAGAATAAAAAATCACTTACAACCGAGAATCTAAAGATAGCAGGTCCCCCAGCTATTGTGTACATTTCGGAGAATCTAACTCCGAAAATTAAGCGATTATTTTACATAGCTCGGAATTTTGGCCATGACAATAACTATAAATACATATGGACGAGTCACGGTAATGTCTACATACGCAAAGCAGATTCCAGCCCGGCCATACGAATCAACAGTGAGGTGGACCTTGACAAGCTCAAAACTAAAAACTGACTATGTAATGTTACAATACCGTTATCTTGGCTAATACTTATTACATTTTTTCAACTTTATATAGTATGTTGCAATGTTATTCATGTATTTCTCTTATTGATTTCTGTTAATTGCGTACTTTGCTTAAACACTTACACCATTACACAACAATATAAACTACTCGCACATAAATATGACTCGTTAAAATATTGTTTTAAATATTATATATTACTACACTACAGTTATCATATTCCTAAAATATTGCTCTATTACTTTTATATTAAATTTAAATATCATTATTTTGTTAAATCATACCTTAGGCAGCTTAAATGTTACGATTCTATAATAAAATTCACACATGAAATAATTGTATTAACGCTTTTATCGACTAACAACTTGAATGACTATTTATATTTATCATAACATTATTGCTACTTATAGTTGCTACGGACCTGTTTTTTAATATGTTACAGTTTAACAATGAATTAAGTTTTTTATCTCTTTACGTAATTATGCACGAATATTTAGGAAATCATTCTAAAATTATTGATGGTAGCACAAATATGTGTCTAAAGGTAACGACAATTGTTTTATCATCCAAATTTACAACTACCCACCTTGTTCCCATAAATTATGCATTGGAATTTTTAACAGTTAAACTTTAATTCTATAGATACTATCGTTATGGACGATATTGAAGAATCGGGCTATATTGCGTGTACCAGAGTGGGAGTTCCAACCGATTTAGACTTATTATCAGTCGGAAAGAATTCCATTACGATTCTTACTGTTAATATACGCAGTATTAATGCTAATTTCGATAGTTTTTTGATATTTTTGTCCAAATTTAACTTTACAATTGATGTGCTCGTATTAACTGAATGTTGGACAAATAAATATTATATACCACCTAACATTCACGACTACAAAATGTTTCAAACTCTTATTAATCTTAATAAAAACAACGGTGTGGTTGTTTATGTTCGGAATGAACTTGAGTCAACAGCCTATGAGCCCTGTCTTATCGATGGTAATTGTTTAGTAATTGACCTGAAAGATACTCTCTCTGTGATTTGTACATATCGTCCTCCATGTTATAAAAATCCTATGAATTATATCAACTCTCTGGATGATATTTTAAATAATTGTCGTAATAAACGTGATATTGTTTTAACCGGAGACATTAATCTTGATGTTATGCCAGATAATCTTAATAACTACTCAACTGCATATTTAAATCTTATGGCTACGTTCGGACTTAAGCAAGGTGTAAACAGTCCAACTCGACAAAAACCTGTTTGGATCATTTCATGGTTAAATCTTATGCTAAATGTCAAACATATGTTTTTGCCGAATTTACAGATCATTCTCCTATTTTTTTACATATGAATTTTACTAAAGTATGTAGAAAAACACAAATGCTTAATAATGTAAAAGTTGATCTTGCTGGCGTACAAAAAATGATGACGGCTGAGTCTTGGGATGACTTATACTCATCTAAAGATGTAAATCTTGCAGCACAGATTCTGACATCAAAATTAGAAAAAGCTATTAAGGACAACACAATTACTAGTAAAATATCTAAACGTAAAATACCACTCAAGCCTTGGATTACTGTGGGAATTGTTAATTGAATTCGAAAGAGAGACAAAATGCATAAAAAATTAAAAAAAAGATTTAAATAATGAGCAATTGAGACACACATACCGAAACTATCGTAACACATTAAATAGATTAAGAAAACAATTAAAAAGAAATTATTATAAAATGTTATTAGAAAAAAATAAAGGAAATATGAAAGAAACTTGGAATACAATAAAGGAATTATGTAATATGGAAAAAAGGAAAGAATCTTCCTCAGATTTACTCAAAAAAGGTTTAAATACTACTCACTCTCTTGACAAGGTTAACAGGTTTTTCGCAACTGTTGGTCATAGTCTTGCAAATGATATCTTATCCAAACTTAACACTACTGACAGTTCTCTTTCTCTATTGGCAAAATGCAAAAATGCATCAAATGGCTCAATGTCCGTCTACCTAACTGATTCAGTGGAAGTTTCAAGCGTCATCTGCAGTATTAAATCTAGTAACTCATCAGGATATGATTGTATTACGTCCAAAATTTTAAAAGACAACATAAAATATATTTCGGAACCTCTTGCATATTTAATTAATTTGACATTTGAATATGGTGTTTTCCCCAAAATCTATAAAAATGCAATTGTCTGTCCCATATATAAATCTGGGGATAAATCTTCACCGACTAACAATGTCCAAGGTTCTCGAAAAAATATTTAACAAGCGATTAATGAACTATTTAGAAAATAATGAGCTTTTAGATAAAAATCAATTTGGTTTTCGTGCCAACAGGTCCACAGATGACGCTGTCCTCCAACTTACTACAAATATTACATGTTATCTTGATAAAAATGAAAAAGTGATGGGAGTATTCCTGGACC